CTAGATTTTCTAGATTATTAATGATTTTTTTGACCATATAATAATTTAGTGTTACTTATCTTAAATGATATTTTAATGACAACATTATTTTTGATGTTAAATTAGAATAATAAAATTTGGATAGTTTTTGCGAATTTTTAGTTAAAAATCGTGTAAATTTAAAAAATTGTTAATTATCTAAAAAATTTTTATATAGAATAACTAGTAGTAAAACTAAGGATAAATAAGAGGTGAATTAGAGGTGATTATTTAAATATTATCATTGAAAATTATATTTTTTTCTGAAATGAAAAATTTAAAATCATATAAATTTAATAATTTTATTGAAATTGTAATTATTAAATAAAATTATTCATTATATATAAAATATTTAAATCTCTGATATATGTCAATATAATTTTATATAAATTTATAAGTATTTTTTCTTTTTCTTTAATTGTTAAAAAATTAAATTTAACAATTTTTAAATTTTTAATTTATCAAAAATGTTAAATACAATCGATTTGAGACGATAATGAAGTTAAATTATTAATTAATGAAAAGAAAAATAGAAATGAAAAATATTGGTTCAATCTTGAAAGATCAAAATTATCTTTTTGAAAAAACGTTACAGAGAAAATCAAAGAAAAATTTAATATGGATATTATATTAGCACAATATTAAGCAAGTTTAAAGGAATAATTAAGGATTATAAAGTAAGTAAAATCCTGATTAAGAAAGTAAACGATTTAATTGTATAAAATAAAATTATAAACAATTAATATTTTTAGTTATTTGAACTTTATACAAAAGGAAATTCGAAAGGAAAGTAGAGTAAAGTTAGTAAAAAATATGAAGAATAATTCAAAACTCTATTTTAAAAAAACCTGGTAAGTATTTAAAATATATTCTTTTTAATATTTATATTAAAATTTAGTTAAATTCAAACTTTCTATTTTTTAGCTTTTTGAATAGAATCAAGAAGGCAAGCTGAATTAAAGCGACGTAAGATTTGTTATTTAAGTTTTAAATATTTTAAACTTATTTTAACCTAAATTTTAATATTTACTTTACTAGAAAATTTAAATACTCGTTCTTCCAATCCTTCTTTTCTATAAAAATCTATCTCATTATAAAGATCCATCTCACTCTCATTATCATCTAATACTGAAATACCATCACAAACTAAAAATCTCTCTGTATAATTTACTCTAACTATTACATTTTTTATTACACTTTTCAACTTTTATCATTCCTTTTTCTTTTTTCATTTTCTTCTTAATTTCACATTCAGTTTATTTTATATTTTTTTTTCTGATTTTTTGTTAAAAAAAAAAATTTTTTTTTCTTAAATGAAGCTTACCACTTCTACATGGTATTTAGAATCAACAGTTATAAGTTAATCTATATCTGATCAAGAGCTAGCATATTTTAACATTTATAAATTTATAAGTATATATAAACAAAGAAAAAAATTATACAATTTTTAGTTATTAATCTAACTAAAAACTAATAATATTGGTTAGTATGGTTAATATATATTTAATAAAAAATGTATTAGAAAAAACTTCGCAATATTACAAAAGTTTTTTGATATTCTTTTTTTTATGCTAATTTTTTATGTGACTATGTGATTATAAATGATATTTTTTAATTATAAGATTTTTTTGAAATAAGGGTGATAGTGATTATAGGTAGAATGTAACTATAAACAGTAAGATTTATATAATAAAAATTTGGGATATCTAACTAGAATGACTATATAGGATAATGTGACTATAACGGAGGTGATTATAATGGAAATTGACTGTAAATTATAATGTTATATGTAGATTATGAAGTAATAATTATTACCTATTTTAAGTGATATATCATTCTTTAAGATAATTATATTAAAAAGTAATGTATTGCTAAAGTTTAAAATAATTTTTATAGTTTTTTTTAATAAAGTCATTTCTAGATTTCAAAACTAATTTTTTTTTAATTTTAATTAAAATTTATTATATATTTATTATAAATTTATTATTTTTAAGTTTTAATAATAATATTAAATATATACAAATTTTATCAAATTTAAAAAAATAATTTTTCATAAATATACTGTAATATTTAAAAATAATAATATTTATAATTTTAATTTATATTATTAATTTTATTATAAAGTATTTTTTTAATACATAATAAATTGTTTATTTATTAATTATTAATTATTCAAAAGTATTAAAAGAATCTGATAGATAAAAATTCAAAAAAAAATATAATAATTAATATAATAAAAAAAATTTTTTTTTATATTATAAAACTAATCTTTATAAATTATTATAAAGTTGATTATAATATAACTTATTTTATAATGATTAATAATTATACTATTTATTATTAAAATCAATATTATTCTAAATTGATATCATTAAAAATAATAAATCAGAAAAAATAATAGCTTATTTTTAGTTAATAAAAAATATGATAAGTATTTATTTTTAAGATATATGTAATTCAAACTAATTTGTAAATGTTAAAAATTAATAATATATATTATTATAATATTTTTACTTTTTATATCATTATACTTTTGCTTTTGATATTATAAGATGAGAAATTTTAATTTGAGAACATATGATATATTTACTTTTACTTTTGACATTTTGTATAATACATACATAAAAGAATTAACTAAATAATGTAAATTTAGATTGAAAAAATTTTATTAATAAAAATAATAAAACTAAAGTAATAAATATTAAAACAAATAAATAATACTATATTAAGGAAAAATAAAAAGATCATTTTAGCCGAGAGGTTACTTATGAAATCTACTAATTATCTTTTGATACTAACGCTAAGATTGATAGAGAATATTAGCAAGTTAAAAGGTATTAAAATAACAACAAATAAATAAATAATACTTTCTTTATAAACTATAAACTATTTAAATACAATAAAATTAATTTGTAATATCTCAAAAATAATGAACAATGCATTTCTATTATGAAAAATTGTCTCGTCTCTATGAAAAATCAAGTAAAAAAAAATGTAACGATGACATTTTTTTGCATCATTTTTGATCATTTTAATAAAATGGAAATCGGGAAATTGTACTACAGTAAATCAACTATTGAAAGGAGAAAGAAAATTGATTAATGTTGCACAAATTTTCATTTATAATTGGGAACAATTGTTATTAAATTGATTTTCCTGCGTAACGACCGTATAAGGAAATCATGGCATTTATTGATAGACAAATACGAATCAAAAATCACAAAACTTTACGGATTGATTACACGCTGCCAATGCTTTCGATGCTGCGAACAAGATTATCTAAGAGTTTACTTCATCGCCGCCGTTACGAATTCGAATGTTGGGTGATTGTTTAATAAAGCCATGCCGTTTTGTATTTCGTAATACGCGCTCACTTACTCTGAAGTATTTAAAATGCGAATATATATATATACATATATATATTTGAACTAAAATCAATAAAGTATTCTATTTGGATTTCAAAAACAAATTTTTTTTGGTGAATCAATACGCATGTACGGTGCAAGTTATTATTTTTTTTTTTTTTAAATGCAATAATGATTAATATAATTTTGTAGATATTTCATATAATTCCATAACAAATCCTTTCCGATCACTATACCTCCAAATACTCGATGTAAGTAATACGAGCCTTACAACCCGATTATTAAACATTCATTGACCAATCAACCTATGGCTTCTCAGAACCAGCAATTAAAGAATGAATTGAATATTACGTTAAATAAGCATAAATTTGAAATTAAACAAAAAAAAATAAAAATAAAAAATAAAAATAATTACTTCTTCATGTCATAAGAATTCTCGAGCAAAAAAAGTTGTTAATTCAGGAAAATCTTAAAAAAAGGTCATAGCATAACATATATTATGCCAGCGGAAAATAATTTTACCGTGCCAAATGTAGTATTATTTTATTGAAATAATCACGCGAAATGATGAAATAGTTGACAAAGCTTCCGAAACTATTTATATTGTGTATATACTCCTGATATTACAAATATTTATAGTAACCATTTAGTATAACCTTAGATTCAGACCAAATATTTAAAATTTACTGGCTACTTAGTGTCAGGCACTCGGAAAGTCCGAAGTCCGATGTTTCCTTTTTTTTTTTTTTTAAAAAAAAAAAAAAAAAAAAGGAAAAAAGAATTAAAATATCTTTGAATGGTCCCCCAAGAAAAAATCTGAAAAAAAAAAGGTTGCCGTATAAATTTGCAAAGTTAGATAAGATGATGCACGTAGCCTAAAACTGATACAAGGAAGAAAAAAAGTTGTTTACAACAATATTAAAGATTGAGAAAAAAAAAAAAATTTAAAAATTTGGATCGAAATTCAAATTAAGATCGAATAAATCAATAATACCAGAATCTCAATCAACAAGTCAAAATAGTTAAGTTACACTATCAAAGGACATCAGTAAAATCTTGTACAGTTCGCTTTGAATTTTAAATGACTTCATTCACATTTGTTATGGTGTCCTCCCCAAAACGGTCCCAAAAAGTATATATTGCGTATTTTACGAAACCTAGACAAAAATAATACTAGTTTACTTACAGCCTTGTACGACTCACGCGATTTTTTATAAGATAAAGTCGAAGTTTATTAAATGGTTTCATATATGAGACGCATAAATAAGAAGATGCTTCTATCTCGGGTAACGTGCATGGATACAGTCGACCTTTAAATAGTCACATCCTATAGTCACTTCCACTTATCGTCACATAGCTTTTTATATAATCACAATTATTTTTTTTTTGTTGACCATTACTCGAAATAGAACTTTTTTTTTTTTTTTTTTCGGGATTTATATTAAGGTGAAATAATTATTTGTTCATTTATTTACTTTCATTGATTTTTAGTTTATTTTATAAAAAAAAAGAGAGAAGATGGAAATCTAAACCAAATGTTCTTTAGGTATATGGTTTATAGATACATATTTACAAGAAAAAAAAAATAATAATAAAAATTAATCTATTGTCATCGTTTTACTCATTTAACAATAATTGAATTTTACTGATTTTGCTTGGAGAAATTGGCGGTTTATATTCGGCATAGGAATCGCGCTCCCCGTGATCTTTACTACTAGATGATGATGAAAGAGAACTTTGGGCAGTATTGTAACTCTCCTTCAGAGAGATATCATGATTTATTTCAGGAGATATCACAGGAATAACTTTTTGAATATTCGAATTTCCTTTTTTACTCACGTAACCTTCACCGTTGCTGATATCCTCAAAGGAGATGATGTTCCACTTTTCTCGCTTTCTACGGCGAGATGATGTAAAAGATTTTGGTAACATTTCACAACGAAGGTTAAAAGCTTCTTTAGCAAGACGCTTATATTCGGATTTAACGACATCATTCTCTTTTTCCCAAGATTGAGAAGCCATTGAAGAGATGACGGTCATTGGCAAATAATAACCTTGAGAACGAGCGGTTTCGATAAATATCTTGCGATAAATTATGAAAGCATTCGGAGCTCTCGTAGGAATTTTTTTATTACCAGTATTATTCTTGGAAGATGAAATTAAATCGTGTGGATTTATGCGAGGAGGGAAAGGAGGACGAATCATTGGAGTTGAAGAATTTATGAGTTGACCTGGAATTGATGGATTGCTTGAATCTATGAAAACGCATGCACGTGAAGTTGAGTCCCCAACCATTTTTTTCTTGGTTTTCGAATTTTCGGCTTTTTTTTTTTTTTTTGATAAATTTTTTTTTTTATTTTTTGAATTTTTTTTTTTTTTTGAAATGTTACATGTTCCTATAAGACACATATTTATGAAAAAAAAAAAATTTTTTTTTTATGATAACTGTGAACATGCTTTAATGTTTACAATCAACAAAAAGATATTTTTTTTTACGGATAAAAAAAGGAAATCTTTAATAATAGTGCAATATACAAATGCAGGAAATAGAAGTTTATTTAACAAGTTATTCTTTCCTTATTTTGACTAAGCATTGGTTTTAAAGTTATTATTAATATTAATAATAAAGTTTGTTATTAGTAAGACTAAAAATGATTGTGGCTATGTTGGCTAAGTTTGCTCGCTTAGTGAACCAATTATTTTCTGGTTTAGGAAGTTAATGCATTTAAAGAGTGAAATAATGTTGTTGAAAGAAATCGGATATCTAATGTTCTTTGAGGTGCTTGATTTGTTTAAAAGATAAACTGTTATAGAATTCCTATTTTGAGCTTCGAGTTATATCGCGTGGCGTAGCATTATTAAAAGAAAAACATACTGTATAATATATACTGTATAATGTACTTTACATTTTTTTTTTTTATATTTATAGAAATATTTGTTCAACCATAAAAAAAAAAAAAATAAATAAACTACATTACTATAAATAAATGTTGAATCACAAAAGTATTGTTTCTAAACTTTAAAAAAAAAAACCTTTTGTTAAAAGTTTTTTGAGTAATCACACAATTTACTTTATTTTATTTTGAAAAATTATCTCTTTTATGGTAAGTAGGAGACAAATTTTATCCAAAAACGGTTTTTCTATATATATATAAAAAAAAGAACTTTCTACCAATATTCCCGCCAGATTTTCCCAATTGTGGTAACGTCGATTTTTTTTTTTAGTATAAGGGGTACATTTTTATTATGAGATTAAAGTGACTTTCAAGAAAACCTTCCACATATTCGATGAATCGATTTGATCTAGGTTTCGAAACAAGTTTTTTGTTTTTTGTCTTGACGCCATTGAAGTTACATGAGTATTAATTATATCGACGCTAAACCCTCCCCAATGTACCCAATGATTAATTTGGTTAAATCAATAATAATCCAAAGCCTTTTGAACATCATTGCAAATCTATCTTATAATAGCTAACATCTTTGGCTTAAGTTTATTTCATTTATGCTACATGAAACAAAATCAAAAAGAATTATTTACTGGATCATACTTAATTTAATAGAAAAATGAGAAAAATCTTTCAGATTTCATTTATATGAAACTATAAAATAAGCTCTATCACGTGATTTTTATTTAGTATACAGTATGTTATCATATCAATCTTTTCTCGTTTTGGAATATTTACTTCCTTTTTTTCTTTTTCTTTTGTAAAAAAAAAATATAAATAAACAAATAAATAAATAAGTGCAAGTTGTTTATATTTTATTATTTTTTATGAACAAAGTTTATTCTATTTTATTTTTTACGCCCAAGTATTAAAGAAAGGGCCAACCAAATCTTTTCCCTCATAAATATTTTTATTTTCGTCACCATATAAAATGACAATGTGAACCAAAGAAGGTTAAGTGAATAAGACATAAAGAAATCATGCTACGTTTTTTTTTTTTTTTTTCCCAGATCCTTTGGTCACACAAGGTTAATATATTTGTATTACGTATTCTGTCTTCCACAACTTCCCGAACAAATATCTAATGATGGGTTTAATTAAAGCTTGCATAATGTTAACAATGATATGCATAGATGTTCAACCAAAATAAATTTTTTTTTAATGTTTACATAGTATCTAGTATCTAGTTGATAAATCAGTGATTAGTATGATTGAAATGGTGACTTTTTTTTTTCGATCAATGAGCATCTTTTATGGTAAGTTCTCTCTATGAAGTCATTACTTTTGACTTATTTCGGTAGATATTTTATAGTAAATTTTGTTTCGCTTGGTTTTTATCAATCGAAAGAGAATGATTGCTTGAAGCCAAAACCTTTATAATCGGGACAAGCTAAACCGACAAAATATATCAAACTAGTCGACCGATTAATTTAAGGTTTAAGATCTCGTATCAAGTTTTATCTACGCATGGTGTCGTTTCAAATAGTAGTTCAAATCAATTATTAACAAGGTCAATTCGATTATAAAGTTGTTTCCATTCCAGAAGTAAAATTTTGGAAAAACGAATCATTGTCTGACTATGTTTTCGAGTTGACATAACATTGTGTATGAAATTATTTGTTTGTTCCTGATACTTGAGTGATATGATATGTACATTTATACAAATTATGATTGAATGGAATGGTTAATAATATTTATTTTTTTTTTTCATCAAATGGTTGGTTCCATTAGATAAATAATACTTTAAAGGAAAGTAATTCAAGTAAATCTACTTATTTTCATTGGGTATTTCTCCTATTTCTCCTAATAATAAATAAGAGGTAACGGCTTTTGATTCATTCGTAATATACAACTTTTTTTTTTTGACTATTAATTTTTTTTTTTAGTCGCTTAACAAGAGAATACAATTTTTTTTTATAGAAACACAAAACCTAATTTAAAAAAAATAACAAAGAATTTATCTGTTTGCGCTTGGATTCAGTGTATTCAAAATATTTCTGTTTTTTATGTATGGTTTGCTAAAAAAAAAAATTGGATCTGGGAATTTTTGATTTTTTACATTAAATGGAATAAACACATGATAAGTTATTAATTAAACCGATTTTTAATGTGATATTTCGGTCTTTAACATATACATCTAACATCCAGTATAATAAGTCTTTAGAATCAATTGATATTTATGCAATGTACATTTTATGATTTTTGTTCTAAAGAGTATGTGAGTAGACGAATTAAAGAACCTCCCGTAAATTACAAGAAAAAAAAAGGAACCTTATCATAATACAATATTGAAATGCTAATTGCTAACTAATTTTTTTTCTCTTTCTATTGCAAAGGGCTCATATTATTAACAATTACTTAAATTACAAATATATATATTTTCGTTTATTTCTTGATTTCCAACGCTACCAAGTAAAATGAAAATAAAAACAAAGTATGGTGCCGGAAGTCTTAACCCGACAATAAAAATTGTAACACTTAAAAATCTTGCAATTCTTTAAAAAAATAAAATTTTAAAAAAAAATAAACCGGTAACTTTATTCTTTAAGATGAATACTATTAAACTACCGGTCGGATTTTTAAAATAATGTTTATAAAAAAAGTTATAAGCTTTTGAAATCTGATGATTTTATATGATCGGCCTAGTTCAAATCACGTGCACGTAATTTTATTGGTCAAAATTTTACATAATTTAGGCCAACATTATAATAACTTAATATATTATACTCGGAAACTCGGAAAATATTTTTATAAATTAAATTTTTTTTCTTTAGCCAACATATTTTTTTTTTTACATTTAGGTTTATTTTCTAAGATGTCACATAAAACAAAAAGGTAACAGCAAATTAACCAAATACCTAGAAAAAAAGGATGTTATGTATTTCAAAATCAAGTTACAATAAGAGGATGCTGTTAAAAAAGTTACTGAAGAATGGATGGAAGATAAGTTATCAAAGAATTTGCAAAGGATAAAACTATTGAAGAATTAAAAGATGAAATTATTGAAGATAAAGTTGTTGAAAATTGGACAGAAGAAGACAGCATTTATAAAAATTGGAGAAAAACTTATTACTGAAACCCTTTATTGGCATAAAAATGTTACAAGTAGAGTTAGAGTAGCATATACTGGAGATTTAAGAACAATACAATGGAGGTAAAAAAAGGAAAAAGTAGAATTAGAAGAATATGCTAAAGGAATAAAAAAGATCGATACCTTTTTCTAACCAGTTTCTGGAAATATTAGATCGTCACAGCCAATTAATACAAAGATAAATCTAATATATATTTAAAAAAGCTTAATTAATTATATCTAATATGATTATGTATGTTTTCTAAATGTATATCATTTTATATAACAATTGATAAATGAATAAAGAAAAATAGTCGCTAATAATCAAATTGCTCAAGTTATGTAAAATAAAGGAAACTATATGACTTAATACATTAGAAAATAGGAAAGTCACTATATACAAATTGGTGAGCTTCCTATCTATTTTTAAGAAAAGTATATGAAAATTGAAAACCTGCTAGATAATGAGAATTTTATTGAAGGTTGCCAAGTATAATTATAACAACAGATATCAGAAGCTCATTCTCCTTATAATCTAAATATATATAGAAGAAACATTATTTCTAAATTTAATAGAAAGTATTAAAAAAGATACTATTTTTGAGAAGATATAACGAAACTATATGCATCTATAAGAATATAAATATAATGAAATAAAGGTTTTATTATGATAGGCATAAAAGGTCAGATATAATAGAATATAGAAAAGGATAGCTAGAAAAAATATTTAAATATAAAAAATATATAAAAGAATTTGATGGTGATATATTAGAAGTTATATTAGAATCTGAACTTAAATCAAAAGAAAAGGAATTCATTCAAGTAATACATGATGAATGCTACTTCTATGCCAATAATAGATAACAAAGAATTTGAATTAAAAAGATTAGAGAGGAAGAAGATGTTTTATGTTCAAAATATTTAGGACATTCTATAATAGTCTTTAGTTTCTTTTATGCATATCATAGGCTATTAAAACTATCTGATAAACAATTATAGGAAAATTCATATGTCAAAAATAAAAATGCTTATATTTTTCATTTTATATAAACAGATGGATACTAGACCTCAAAACATATAATGGAATAGGTTCAGTTAATTTTTTTATGTATGCATAATAAATAAGAAAAATTTTTAACTAACTTATCTTACTTTTTATAATACAGCTTATATAAAGAACATTTCTAATATTTGAAATATTATATTTTAGATACATTAACATTTTTATTTTGATCAATTAACTAATTATAATACTATAGCAGAGGATATATTGATTATAATAAGAATGAATTTAGGATCTAGGAGAATATAACTTAAAATATATAATAGGTAATATACTAATAAACGTGAAGATAAATATATTCAATCTATGATATTTTCAAGTGATTACCTAGTAGAAAAACTAAGAGGACAATCAAAAGAGATTAAAAAAATACTTGAGAAATGTAATTTTTAACCTAAGGAGATAATTAATTTAACATGCAAAAAATGTTCTAAAAAGGATATTAATAATGACTTAATAAGACTAAATTGCTATGCATAGCAAATAATGTTTTTGTATCTGATTTTTTAAGTAACGATCAATATTAGAAGAGATTATTATTAGATTAGGATATGTTTTTAAATGGTATCCAAAGTTTCATTGTAAATATAACTTTATAGAATAGTACTAGAACTTTGTAAAATGAGAAGTTAGAGAACTATGTAGCTATAAATATGCAAACTTATTGAAACATATTTCTAAAATTCTTGATAACATTCCTATTATGACTATTCGCAAATTTACATGCAAATTATAGAGATATATAGATGTATATAATAGAGGGTTAAAAGGTAGGACCACTGAATAAATTGTTAATAAATATAAGTTACATTACAGATTATCCAAAAATATTGAAAAAATAATGGATAATTAATAAGATAATAGCATTATAATAGCATTATAATAAATAAATTAAAATAATTTAATACTTAATTTTTAGATCGTTCTTCAGCTTCATCAAAATTTCTTCATAGATTTCTTTCTCAATATTTCTAACCTCTATTCTTTACAAAAAAGAAGCTTAAATAACTGAACTGAAATAGTTAAAAGATTTTTTATCATTCTTGATATATCACATAATATTTGATAATACTTGTAATCAAAGGTTGTAGAAAATTTTATTTTGTGATGATATTCTTAATTTATTCTAAATTACACAAAATACTGATTTTTCATTAACCAATTTTTGTATCATATAATAAAAGATCATTGCTAAAAATTTGAAACAATTATCGAATTAAACCTTTTAACACCATATTTGTAAGCATCAGTAATTTCTAAATAATTGATACCAAATCAAATTTTGTTGTATCTTCTTTATTATATCCAACTAACTTTTTTTTTCTTTCAAAAATATTATAATTAATAATAATATATTCATTTTCAGATTCACCCCTTTTGAATTCTCTAACTTTCTCTAGTAAATTATTCTATATAACTCATTTTTCTGAAGATTTTGATTGATTTACATTCTTACCTCCTAAAGGTACAAAAAAAAAAAATTCAATTATAACTATTATAACTAATCAGTTTAATTGTCATTACCTTTGAAAAATAATCAAAAAAATTTACATTTATTTTTATTTGAAAAGTTTAAATAATTAGAGCATATAGTATATAGCATTTTTATATTATACTTATTGTAAATTTATTAAAAATCATTTAATATTAGATATGAAGATTATAACATATTTGAATAATATAATTATTATAAATAATATTAATTTTATAAATTAAATAAAATCTAAAAAATATTTGATATACTATAAATCTTTAATATTTATTAATATTTATTTTTCTTATATTATATTTATTTTATTAACAATATATACAGTATATAAATTTAATTAAATTTAGCAATTATTTAGCTACAATAAAATTAATTTTATATAATTAACTCACTTTTTGCAAAAAGTTATAATTAAGAACTCTAGTTAGGGCAGTAACATTTATTATATAATATTCAGTTATTATAAGCCTATACCCAAACCCTTATCTTATAATAATTTTATATATATTACATATATATTAAAACCTTTCAATTATCTCTTACCTTCTAAAATATTATATAATAAATGTCACTGCTTTTATTTTAAACTCTTTTATAAATTTTAAGTAATAAATAAAGAAATTAATTAAAGTCTTTATATATACTTTTTTTTTATATATATAGTAATGACAAAAAGGGACTTCTAAAAAACATTCAAAAATGATATTTAAAAAAGATTTCATCTTTATTTCTACTATAAATTATAAGTATTTTTTCTAGATTTTAAATTAGTCTAAGTTTCTTTCTTACTATTTAATATTTTGGTATCTAACTTGATATAAAAATACTTTACTAAATATTAAGAATTATACTGTCTCTTTTAGTAGAGTTCTAAATAAATTAAATCAAGTTAAATTTAAAGACTAACTCTATTTAATCTCTTTTTTGAATTGAGTCAAGTTGAATTTATTTTATAAAATATTTTAACTTAATTTGATTCAAGTTATATAAATTTTAAATTTAATTCAATTTAACTCAACTTGATTTTAACTTGAATTTATTTGAGTCAAGTCAAGTTCAAATTAAATTTCATATCAAATTTAAATTAACTTATATATTTAAATATAAAAAAAAATTATTTTAAATTATATTATTAGATTATATATTATTTTATTTAAATTAATTATTTTAAAAATAAAAAAATTTATTTATAGAATTTTGGGTTACCATGATATTGGTAATGATATTTTACTAATTATTTTTTAGAATTTTAGGCTATATAATATCAGTTTAGTAAGAGATTACTAATTATTTTTTTAGAATTTTAGACTGCTGCAAAATTAGTAAAAACATTAGTAAATATTTTCAAAAAAGCCTATCCATTCTAAGAAAAAGAAATTTAACTTATTGGTTAGATTTTAAGATTTAAAAAAGGCTGAACCTAAAAAAGAGAAGAATAAAGAACGCTAGTAAATGTTTTTAAAAAAGCAAGAAGAAGAAATTCAACTTATTAGTTGATTCTTAAAATCTAAAAAAGGCTAGTTTTAAAAAAGAGAAGAATAAGAAAGTTCATAAATATTTTTAAAGAAGCTCATCTATTCTAAGAAAAAAAATTTAACTTACCAGTTAGTTTTAAAAAATCTAAAGAAAGTTAATCCTAAAAAAAAAAATAAATAACATTAGTAAACATTTTCAAAGAAGCCTATCATTCTAAGAAGAAGGAATTTAACTTACCAGTTAGTTCCTAAGATATAAAGTAGATCAGTCTTAAAAAATAAAAATAAAATAAAAAATAAAAATAAATAAAAAAAAATACTGTGACCAGGTATCGATCTTGACAATCATAGATCTACAATTGTGTAGTGAAGTACAAATGTTGATAATGTCAGACATATTTAATATGTCTAACATGTTTAATATAGCTAATATGTCTAACATATCAGATATATCTAACATAGTTAATATAGTAGATATAGTTAATATAATTGATATAGTTAATATAGTTAATATATTAAATATATCAAAATATGTAATAGAATAGATATAAATACAACCTCTTTTATCAATTAGAAAGAAAAGTCCGATAGTTATATCAAATCTTTCTCTTGTAAAAGATAGCATAATGCTACTCTTCACCTTATGTATCTCTGTTTCTTATTTCTTTCATATATCATTATCCTATTATTTTCTTTTACTTCAATAAAGTATTTCTTATTTTTTATTTGAAATTTTTCTCAAATTTATCATGAAAACTTTTAACTTGTGATTGAAACTGCTCACGTTCAATAAACTTAATTTAACATAATAAACTAGTAGCGAATTAGCTAAGATTATTGAAAACTAACTGAAATTACTATGTAAACTATAAAAAAGTAAATCCTCTGACACTGCGTCTAATAGTTATAATCTGAAAAGATTATACGTTAACAATACAATAAAAAAATTACAAAAAAATAAAAATAAAAACAATACAATACAAAAATAAAAAAAGATTAACAGTTTCAATAAAGTTAGCTTTATTCTTAAAAAAATCAAAGCTGCTTATAATGATATAGATAAAGTCTTCGCTAATTATAACTAAGTTTATCAAAACCTGATAATTCTATCTGAAACAAAGTAGAAACTAACTGTGAAAACTAAGATGCAAACCTAAAAAAATCTAATATAAAAAGATTTTAAAAGAAGAGATGAAAAAGATTGCTTAAATAAGATCAGAAAAAAATAAACACTGAGTAAGAAATTATTTTTCTAAAATGCTAAAAAAGTTTAATAATAAAAAATAAATTAAATGAAAAAAAAGAATAAAGTAAAATTATAAAATAAAAAAATAAATTAAATACAAATAAAAAATTAATTAAAAAATAAACTAAAAAAAAATTTAATAATAAAAATAATGAAAAAAAAAATCAAAAAAGTAAAAAATTAATAAAAAATAAAAAAACTAAAATAAAATTAAAATAAAAAAATTAATTAAACTGAAAATAAAATTGAATTATAAATTAAATGAAAAAAAAAAGAAATAAAAAAAAGAAATTAAAAAAATTAAATTAAAAATAAAATAAAACAAGAAAAAGAAATAGAAAAAGAAAATTAAAAAAAAAGATAAAAAATAGAATCAAAAAAAATTTATTAATAAATTGATCAATTTAAGATAAATCAGTTATTTTTTAAAATATAAAATTTGCTTATATAATATTAAATTTATCTGATAAATTAACTTTAAATTTTTAGCTAGGTATATTTTTATTTAAATTATTAATTTTTTTTAATAATTTAGGCTAATATAATATCAGTTTAGTAAAAACATTTAGAAATTGATAATTATTTTTTATTTTATAATTTTAGACTATCATAATATCAGTAAGAGTACTTATAAATTGTTATACTAATATAGTAAAATCAATTTTTCAAAAAATTTTATTTAAAAACTTAATTTATAATTTATTTAAGTAGAGTTCAAAGTATAAAAATAATCTTTATATAGTTTTAGAATCAGATTATTTCTTCTATACAAGCTCTTTTTTATATAAGTAGATGCAATTTTTAGTGAAATAAAGTTAAATTTAATAAATATAATTTAAGTTGTAAATTTATATTATTTTTTTAAAAAAAATTTAACATTATAATTATTCAATTAATTGAAATTAAAAAAAAATAGCTTTAAGTAAGAGTAATTTAAAATTATTTATATCTTTTAACAGATCCTTTATTTAATAAACAAATAAAAATAATATTATTATATAATAATGATAATTTAAGTTAGCTTTTTACTTTTATTTTATCTCTACTTCTTCTTCTAAACATGAAAGAAAAGAAGGAAATACTATTAGAATTGAGAAAATGGAAAGAAATGAAGTAATGATTAGTGAAATTAAAGGAATATCTAAAAAATAGAAAATAATGATATCATAAGAATATATAATAATATACATAAAATACAGTGGTTACCAAAAGAAATACAAGTGTAATTGATTATCTTTGAAAGGCTATAACTCATTGATCATAAATACTAGAACTATAATTTTATACTTGTTTTAAAGCCCAAATCTTAAAGGATAT